GGAGTTTCTGCCAGCCCTCCGAATAATTCCAAAGCCAGGAACATCTGGAACTTCACCAAACAGTCCACCAACTCAAGGAATATCTGTAACTCCCCAAAACATATCCCCTGTGTCAGCTGGAACTGCAACTGCAGTAGATACTTTTGAAGATGTTCGGTGCTGATTCAAGCATATTCGAGCGCATGGTCGTGCGGTAGGCCATTAGGAATAAGTGAATGTGCTGATTCCAATCTCTTTGATGTTCTGATACAAATTTGGACAGGTGTTTACCCATCGTTCGGTTCATCCTCTCGACCGATCCATCTGATTGAGGATGCAGGGGTGTTGATTTGGTCTTATTAACACCAATCAATGTACAAACGTTTTGGAAAAGGGTTGACTTGAAGTTTCGCCCTTGGTAGGAGTGGATCTACAAGGGAACACCAAATCGGCTAAAGAATTCTCTAACAAGTACCTCTGCAACGGTAGCAGCTTCTTAATTTGGTATCGCATAGGCCTCAGTCCATTACGTAAAATAATCCATGGCTACCAAGATGTATTTATTTCCATCATTCGTCTCTGGAAGTGTAATTGCTACTCTTTCCATAAGACTACCAACATTGTACTGTTTCATGGGTGCCCTCTTTTTACCAACTGCACCATTACTGGTTGTACACGGTTTACATGCAACTAACGCAATACTTCTGACACTTTACTTTTATGTTGAGGCAACTGAAGCTTAGTTTCTGTACCATCATCGTTCTTAAAGATTCTATAACGGAGATCATCTTTTCTCACTAGGCAATTCCATTGGCTCCAGTAACACTTGACTTAAGGACTACATGCACTAATGTCTTGCCAAGAAGATCTTTCACTTCGACGCAACCAATCCAATATTCTTTTTATACATAGATCATCTGCTTGAGCGTCTTGTAGCTGTTGAGGCTGTCATTGATCATGAATGACGGTGGTTCGTCTCACGGGGCAAAATCTTTCTTCTTATTTAAGACAGTGATTACAATTTGCACTGCATCGTTATATTGACTGAGCATCAGTATTTGAATGACTTTTTTCAGTCCAGTGTTCGATTTGTTCTAGCTTTCTGACTGTTCTATTTGTACAAAAAGGGTGTATGTATATGTGGGAAATTATTAGTATAATTTCAGTGTATGTGGACTGTATTATATAGGGCTGGTTCAAATAAATTAGGATATGTAGTAAAGGGTATACAGACAGTAGCAAATTAAGTTTATAAAAAGTCTTACCAATATTTTTTCTGCTCCACACACTCGCGGTTTTTATTTTCTTATGCGGAATATGTCGGGCATACTCGCGGTTTTTCTAAACACGTGTTTCGCGGTACTACACTTTGCGAGATAGAGCACACTTTGTCTGCAACAGTATTTTCGGTATTTCTCGCGTAACTAAGGCGGGAAAGAGGTAATTGCGATAGAAAATAGCCAAGATAGATGGTGTTCTTCTTGATAATCGAGAAGAGAGAGAGAGAGAGACAGAATGAGTCTTTAGAGGTAGCCTAGAATCCAAAAAGGCACGATTCGCCTTGGCGGTAGTTAGATCAAGAGAGAGAACTGGCCTAGCGGTGGCCAGATCAAGAGAGAGTGGTCTGTCCTTAGCGACAGCAGATAATCAAGAGAGAGAGTATTTCTTCTTTGCTTTCTTAAAACTGTGTATTTCTTAAGAGAGTGGGTTTAAACTGGAATAGGAAGGGTTATCAAGGGTTGAACTGAGGTATTGATTGTAAAATTGTGATATAAGGATAGTTAATAATACAGCGAAAAAATGACATGATTTTTCGCATGTGAGAAAATTGAACACTATTATTTCTTGCAATTTACGATGAGTGTGACCTACGTTGCCACCATTCCAACATCTGGTTTCGCGTCTCTTCGGCATAGTGTTACGAACTACTTTCCGTACGATTTCCTCCAGACGTTTATCGTTTCGTTCGTCGCTCCCTTCAGAGGTTCGTACTCGATAGCTCCGTGAAGCTTGACTAGCTGTTTCGTGGGCTTAGAAGAGCAATTAAAAGTTTTTGAGAGAAAGATCAACAAAAAACTGGGACCAAAGAGGGAAAACGAAGAGGATGCAAGATAATGGATGAATCATGAAACACAAGAATGGATGTGCCCAGAGAACATAGTTAGAGCAATAAAAGCACAAATAATTAGATGGTATGGACACATAATGAGAAGAGTGAAGAGCAATCCATTAAGAGTTATAACGAAATGCATACCACCCGGTAAAAGAACCAGAGGCAGACCTATAGTCCGTCCCAAACTCTTCTTTCACTGCGTCATAGTTGTTGTCAATTCTGTCTAACGTATTAAGCTAGAAGTGACAGAAAAAAAACGTGAGTCTGTGATTTTTATACATAGAACTTAGAAAATTAGGTATCGTTCACGGGTATTCGCATATTAAAGCGAATTCTACTTACGGATGTATAATTGGTTGGAGTTTTAGAATAGGGATGGGAAAAACCTACGGTTTTAACCGAAAACCGGTTTTTTTACTTCGCAATAACCGGTTTTATCGGTTGTTTTTGTGTCACGGTTATAACCGGTTTTTTATTTTTAAAGTAAAAACCGGTTATTAGGTTATTAGGTTTTTTACGATTCGGAAATCTACTGTTTTAAATTTGTTATCATCACAAAAAATTTGATATTATTTTCATATACGTTTGTATTAAAATTTATTTGATACTTCCCTGTATTGTTTAAAAAATTAAATACAAAGAATGAGAAATCCCGGAAATTCGTAATTGTAATTTGATCCCTAAACCATAACAATTAACATCATTGGGTATCGGCACGTATTGGTAACCATAAATCATTCACCCACTCTTAAAATTTTATGTATATATGGTAAATATTATGACCTAAATTAAATTCTGATCTGTGAGCCGCCTTTTGTCCCATAAAATTTGAATTATGGGTGTTTGGAATAATACGACCTAATTATTTAAGGACTCTAACTTTTAAACAGCGTTTCTGCGATTGCCATACCAATAATCACTCTAAATAGTTTCATTTCATTCTTTCGTTAGTAAACATTTTAACATTTAAACCGCATATTTATAATAGAAGGCGATACTATTGGTTCTTACGTCACATATTTAAAGCATAAACGTGGTTTATTTATATAGGTAATAATGTTCTTTCGATAGTACTAATTTTGATCATATTGAAATCATATCATATTTTGATCATATTGGATTAAAAAAACCGAAAAACCGGTTTTGGAAAAAACCGGTTTTTTTTTTTGGCCGGTTATAACCGCCAGGTTAAACCGTAAGCAAAAAAAAACCGGTATAACCGAAAACCGGTGTTTTGTCAAAAACCGCCTATCCCTAGTTTAGAATACGCTAATTATATATCCAATCAATGATGCACATAAATATAATTTGACGCAAATGGTCTCGATCGTGACAGTGACAGTACTTTCACAATGTCAACTGATAAAATGATAATTGTCATTCCAGGTTAGTATTTTCAAACATTTTACCTACAGTGAAAATTAAATTTTGTATTTATTGTCATAAAAATATTTTAAATATTCCGAGATATACCGAGAATGAACAAAGACTAATATTAGAATTATTAAATTATTTTCAATTAGAAAAAGAGGCTGGGACAACTTTATTACCAGTTTCTGTCGTTCGCGAATCAGATTGTGAATTCAGGAATGATATTGAGGAAATATCTTAAACCAATACCATTATGGATATTTACATGTATTAAAACGGTTCTTTTTAGAACCACGAAATTTTCTTGAAATGTAAGATATAATTGATACCAGCCACATATCTACTGTAATCATTGATTTTAATGAATCAGATTCTGAATCGGATAGTGGATTGTTTGAAATATAATATTTATTTTTGTTATTCATAAAAAAGAAGGTAAACTTACATTCGATATCTTGTTTTTTAACTAAATTCCATTAACACTATTTCATCTGGATACCGGAACTGGTAGATTAACTTAAAAATCAACTGCTTCACTATTTAAACTATTTCAATATTTAATGATAAATCTTTACAAAATTAAACTATTGGCTGCCACAGAAACTTATCGGAAAATTACTTATCAATATGAATGATTCAATCGATGATTTTATCACAGGAATGCTTGCTTTGATGCCTTGCTAGTAAATGTTTTTATCTCACAGTCAACTCTTAAAAGATTCTAGAAGGAACGTTATTTTAAATAACAAACATTCCAATTCATAGTGTTTGTAATAAATAATAATAAATCATAAACAAATCTAGCTATTAAGCACTTCATTGAAATTATAGAATAGGAATTATGGGAAACTGCCGTTCCAATATAATGCGCAATAAAATTTTTATACAGGATCGGGACCTCTAATATGTAAATTAAATAAAAATTTGAATTGTTAAAGTTTTTTCTCCACATTTAAAAAAAATAACCTATTCACATTTAGCCGATTATGACCCTGCAACTGTCAGATTTAACTAGAATGTCATGCAATAATTCTCGACATTCTTAAAATCCTATATGCCGTCAACATTAGTGACGCACTGAAAGAAGGGTTTGGGACAGACTGTAAACTGAGATTGAGATAACAATGATCCCATCTTTGTTCGGTTTTTCATATGCAAATATGGCTCACATTTAAATCTGTAGCAACTTGCCATGGTTACCAACCTTTTTCGAGTTTGGCAATTGGTCTTAATTTTTGCGTGTCATTCAAATGCATTCTAAACATTTTGGATATCGTTAATAGCTTTTATTTTACAGTATTATATAGGACAATGTAAAAATAAAGTGAAAATTATTCAATAACCGCAACAGTACCTACATAGCTGATAAAGGAATGAAAATATTTTGACAAATGTTCAACCAATATAAAAAATGCATTTGGTTACAGGTTAACTAGACTTATTTTCTATTAAATGTGCCAATTAAATGTCGCCAATAAAGACATATTCAAAAATAACTTAATAACATTATTTATTCGTTTATAAATTGTCAAGTTGAAAAGTTACGGCGACTGCCACTGTCAAAAATATTACTAAAATGTTTGAATCCACAAATATTGACTATCTTGAACAAGAAAATGATGATCAAGTTGATATCTTGCCGGATTCCGATCATATTCACGTCAACTACGGATACATCAGTTCGTTTCTTAGGATTATTCTTGGTAAGTGTTATTTCAGTTCAAACACCGAAACCTAAAAAAATGTGGGTGCTTTTTAAGATGTCAACTTTTTTTAAATTTAATGATAAACATGGTTACTTTTATTGTACTTACTACAACCTAGTATAAACAGAAACTTGGATGAGTGATTAACCCTCAAATTCCTCATAGGAAGGACATGTCGTTTTTATCGTTCTCTTTTTGTTCGGATGGTGCTAATTATGAATGTTCTTTTGGAAAACACGTTTTTAAAAAGCACAAACACTCAAAATAAACTTTTATTTACACTAGGTCTGCTTGATTTTAGTTACAATTCAAAATATAATTTTCAGACTACAAATATAAATATATCAGACTTAGATAAGGCTTCCTATATATAAATAAGAGATACAGAAATTCAGTATTAGCAGTAAAAACATATCCAGGCGCAGATGTACCAACAGAATCACAATATTTTAGGAAAAATAAGACTGAGATTAAAAAGAGTTGCAAGGATGAATAAGCAAACAGTTACTATTGATAGAGAAAAGATGTTAAATGATACTGTAAAACAAGAATTAAATAGTATATTAGAACAAAAAATGAAGTTACCATCAAGTAAAGAGGAAAGTACTGGGGAAAACTGGACGGGAATTAAAGATCTTAAAGACTGCTCAATAAACAAAATTGAGTGCGCTAAAAGCAAGAAAAAAACAAGGGTGGATGACAGAAGAAATACTGAGACTTATAGATCAAAGAAGAGAAGTCAGAAATAAAGATAAAATCGAATACATGAGGATCCACGCAATAATCAGGCAGAAGATAAGACACGCGAAAACACAATTTCATAGTAAAGAATGTAATGAAATTGAACAATATGAAAAGAAACTCGATACATTTCATCTGCACAATAAATTAAAAGAGGTCGCTGGAAACAAACGAAAACAAGTATCCTTAGAAAACAGAAACGGACACAGAATATTAGACATAAATGAACAGTTAAAAGAATGGGAAAACTACATATCTGAATTATTTGAAGATGAGAGAGTAGAACACTATATACCGATTGCTATATCAGGTCCATCTATAACAGAAAATGAGGTTACAAGTTCAATACAAACGGCAAAAAAATGGAAAATCACTTGGCCCCGATGAAGTAAGTGCTGAAATACTAAAGTTTTTGGAAGAAAATGGAAATAAAAGCTCTGTGTAATCTCTTTAACAGAATTTATGGCACTGGGATATTACCAACTGATTGGTTAAAGTCGACATTTGTCACAATAGCTAAGAAACATCGTCCAAAGACATGCGGTAATTATCGGACAATAAGTCTACGTTTTGAAGATCTTCCTGAGAGGAATACACAGCAGAATTTACACGCTGTTACAGGACAGAATTAGCAATACTCAATTTGGTTTTAGGAGTGGCTTGGGTACAAGAGAAGCCTTGTTTAGTATACAGGTGCTAGTACAGATATGCAGAGATATTAAATCGAAATGTGTACATTTGTGCAATCGATTTTGAAAAGGCTTTTGACAAAGTCCGACATAACAAAATGCTAGAAATATTATATTAAAATAAAAATAAAGAACTACATCGTTATTTAGAGCGGCTGTCAATAAAGTCGCGATAGCGAATATGCTAGTCAACATGATATCCAATGATCGATAACGGTCATGGAACTAGAAGAAGATCAGATCGAAAAAAGGTGGTTTTTACAATGCTTTTTTCCAGAGCAGACCAAGGTTCAAGAAAGTTCGGTGCTAATAGGCGGCAACTTCTTATTAAACTCATGTGATCGAATATACTGGATTCTAGCAGTCATTGTACTATAACTACTGTATAAAGATGTTTTGTAAGGGTCGAACAAATCTTTTGCATTGGCTTTTTCTGGAGTTTCGTTAGATACTAAAATTTTGTACCTGTAACATATATAAGCCAGATAATTTTAATAAAGATATAGTACAGGAGTTGTCCAAAAATGGTTATGTCTATGGTTTCACCCATTTGGGGTTAATTGTTTTAAGGTGTTCTTCTTCCTTAGAGAGTTTATGGAGTTTTTCTAAGGGGATGTGATCTATCCTGAATTGATTAAATTTGTGTGGTCCTAATTTTGAAAAGCTCTAACAGTTTATTTGAGATGGTTTTCTTTTATAAGTTTTCCAGAATATCGCGGAAGTAATTTGTTTCTAGTGACTGTTTTTCGGGTATAAATTTTAATGCTTGGTTTTATACGCAATGGGGACTTGTCTCGATTTGTTTCTGTTTTTGATTACTTTCTCTTTGTTTTCTTGTATATGCCAGTTAAAATCCTTGTATAATTCTTTAGTTATCTTTCGATCATTTTTGTTACATGATTATTTGGAATTATTTTCTCTGTCAACATCAAACGGATCTTTTGCGTGGATATGTCTGTTTAATATGTCAATAGGTCTTAACTTCGTTGCTGAAAGTATGGACTTATTGTACCCAATTATAGCCTATACAATTTATTCTTTTATCGATAACTTTGCTTTGGTGTTTGTTAGGATCCGAAGATGTTCGATTAGTGTAGAATGAAACTTCTCAATCATTATATTAGACTGCGGATTCTCTGGCGTTGTATAGTGGATTGAGATTTTATGTGATTCGATAAATGCTTGTATTACTCCATTTTTGAATTCTGCACCATTATCGGCTACTAGCATTATTGGGAGTTTATGATGTGTTACAAAAATTAATAGAGCGTTAATAGAGAGTTAAATAGTTAATAGAGATGGCGTTTCCTCCATCTATTGGATAGGCTTGTCTATGCTTCGAAAATGCATATAATATGGTTAATAACTTTTGACCATTGGCCTGAAATAAATCGATGAGATCTATTTCTAGTAGTCTAGTAGGAGTTGGTGTCCTCCTACCACCAAAAAACCATGAATTTTGGCTTGGGAGGAAGTCTGTCATATTTATCTTCGAAACACAGAACAGAAAAAATCGCCAAGTACAGGGATCTGGAAATTCAAATACGAAGACAGTAGAGAATGGAAAGTACCCAGACAATACCTATTATTCTCTCTACTACTGGAGTCATTCCAAAGAACCTCCTAGAAAACATAAAAAAGTTAGATCTGAATGAACATCTCTACAAGACCATGCAGAAAGCTGTACTACTTAACTCTCAACGTCCAGATGTGTACGAAAATTTTTGGGAGATACTCCAGCATATCAAGTCACCTAGGGCTCGGATAACAAGGAGAGTCCCACCCGAGCTCAATCCTTTTGATACCGTAGGTATCTGGGATGAGTGAATTTTCTCCTTAGAGGGAGTGTGAGCCGTATGGCTAAATCTGATAATAATGAATATTTTGCTTCTCTTTCTGTTTTAGTGTTGTTATGTAGACTTGGTTTTTTCTTAGTGCCGTTTTGGCTGCTTCGCTTGGGTCCTCTGGAAAATTTACGTCTTCTTTGTATTCTGCTTGTTGATTGTCGTGAGCATCTTAAAAATTTTCATAACTAGATCATAGTACCTACTGGTAATTGGCATTCTCTTCTTCCGTATCTTGGCATTGTATATTGTATAATTCTTCGATGGTAAAGTTCGGCTGTGGTCGGTACTTTGGTGTGAAATTTTGGCGGCCCTTTTCTGGTAGCAAGTTTTTAAATTTAACTATCATACTCTATTTTTAACAAATACTAATAATAATAATAATGAATATTTTGTTTCTCTTTTCGTTTTAGTGTTGTTATGTAGACTTGGTTTCGTCTTAGTGCAGTTGGGAACTATACCTGTTGAAAATGTTTATAGAATCACCTTCTACAACATCTTTGAAATTGGAAATACCATTTTATCTTATTTGCTGCTTGGATACATGATTTCGTTTGGAAAATCAAGTTTTAATGGCTGGGTCGGATATTCAAACGACTTTTCGTACAATCTTGACATGGCCATATTTGGTAAGTTGCTCATTAGTGTGATAGAGAAAGGTTTATCGACAATTTTTACATAGTAAACAATACTTGTCATGTCACAATAAAAATAAGTCACTTTTGTATACATGGGAAATAACTAAGAAATAATACAAGAACACATAATAAAACATATACAGTGATAATTAGATATATAAAATTATAAAAAAAAACAATTCAGTAAGACGTAATATAGTTTTCATAAAAAACGACCACACTAGGAGCTCAAACAAACGAATTCCTGTATACTACAGAAACAGTGTTCCAGCAGGAAGTGTTTTGCTAGCTTATAAAATTGTTTAGAATTCATTGCTTTAATATCTTTGTTATAATTTGTTTGTTATAATATTTTTGTTTAGGTTTAAAAAACAATTATACAGATTATAATATATTATATTAAGTTGTGTAACACACAATCTGGAATATGGTATAATGATATGACTTTTACTTCTGGTATTGTAATGATGTTGATCATCATGTGTTTTTACATCTTGTATATTATGATGAACAGTTAACAAAGTTTCAAATATATATTATTGTGATATTCAAAATCTTAGTGCTCCAAGCAATTAATTAGCTAATTAATTAATTCATTAATTAAAATTATTTAAATGATATGACTATGATTCTATCACACTTTTCAATTCTCTCATCTCAGGGTTATATTCGTGCTTCAATATCTATGCTATTACATGTGAAAGGTAAGGTCCAAAGAATACCGGAATAATAAAAAACATATAGGATCTAACATTATATATTGAAATAAAATTCACACTCGAATGTTTTCAATAAACAATATCTCATATAATGATTCTCAAAATTTTGTTCTACGTACGTCAACCTTCAAAATTAATGGTACAAACAATATTAGTTAAAATCTCAAAATCCCAATTATTATTCTAAATCTCCTAATCAAAATATTTATATCTTTTCCAAAGTAATTGTAAAAATTGTGTTATCAATGAAAGAAAAACTGCAGAAAAACAAAACTATCTCTCTATGATGATGAGTGGTCCAAATCCTTGTTCCTTGTAGCCTACACTATCTATTCTTAGCAGCTCCCTAGGTAATCAGCAATCTTACAACAAATTATTGCAAGTTTATCGTCCTTAATGATCTCCTTCAAATGCACGAATCGTTCAAATTATGCTATCTTCTTCTCCTCTCAATAAACTGAATCTCTCGTTGGCCTGAGTGAAAAATGACTCTTGGAATATCTTCTCTTTACGATAAACTGAATCTCTCGTTGGCCTGAACAGTAACTCTTGGAATATAAGTAGAAAATATAACTTACAATCTTTTACTGGATCAGCTTCTGTCAGATACACTAACTACACGAAAACTCACAAACTTTCACTGCTACTGCTTCCTACCTCTGGGAAACTACCCGAGAACAACGGCCGTTCGCCTTGCACCCTTGGAAACCAACTGACTATCATTTTTTTCTTCCAAAACTAACTAACGTCTCATTCTCAAACCAACTATCCCACCTTTTTCAATCTCATCCAATCAAAACAGCGTCATACATCTCCCATTTCTTCATTTCGATAACACAAACAAATTTTTACCTACAATTATAAAATTTACTAAAACTATTTACAACTAATCTTTTTCTACAAATTTTTATGAACTAACAAAAACATATCTTTCTAAAATCTATTCTATTGTCCTAATTACTGCACAAATTTATTTGGAAAACCCGCATCCATTGTCTAGGATTTCACTTAAGCCCATTCACGTCACTAAAATTTATATTTTACAAAGAAAATAATTTATGCATATCTTACGTTCTATTTAATACAGGTAATCCAAAATTAAAAGGCTTTCATTCTTCGAAATGTTTGTGTGTTTATTATCCTACTTATCTGAATTATTTTAATTTTTTTTTTGTAACTTTGAAATATTTTAAGCAAACCAATATTTTTCTCGATTTTACATATCATAACAATATATATATTGAAGGTAAAGGAATAATGACATACTTTTTAAACAAGGGTTTAAGCTGGCGTGATACTCTACCGAGTCAATAATTCGGATTGCTGCTTTTTGAAAAGTGAAAACTTTATATGCATAGGACGAGTTTCCCCAAAGAAGTATGCAATATGTCAGGATATTATGAACTATTCCAAAATAAACTGACCTGAGAATATCTCGACTAACATAATCTGCGCATAGCAAAAATCTGCGAGGCGAGCTTCTTAGACAATCGTTCAATATGGTGCGACCAGTTCAACCTTGTATCCATAGTAGCACCTAGTAACTTTACTGGTTCAGATGGACCCATTTATCAAAACTAAATACTATTGTCTGGGTGTTATGCTTGTTTAACTTAAGTTTGTTACAGTTAAACCAGGGTTTAGATTTTTCTAATATTTCCTGACTGTAATCAGTTTTACAGTTTTACATAATAAGGTTGTGTCATCTGCAAAAAAAACACAGTTGGTGTTATCCAATGCACTTGGTAAATCATTTATATATTTCAATAATGGCAGAGGTCCCAAAACTGATCCTTGTGGTACTTCCGGTTGAAACTGGTAAAGGGTCAGATTCTTGATTATTAAATGCAACAATTTGTATTCTTCCTGTAAGAGAGGATTTTAAAAAGGTAATGTATGGTACCCCTTATTTATAGTAGTAGTACTTCAATTTTATCAACAGTGTTTGAATATCCACACAATCAAAAGCTTTTGTAAGATCACATAATAAGCCATTAGTAGGTTCACCTACATTAAAACCGTGAACAATATGTTCTATTAGTTCTAATAAAGCTTTAGTTGTTGAGTATTTTTTTCTAAAACCAAATTGAGAGCTAGATATAATTTATTTTGATCCAAATAATTTGATACGATCTTTAATTAAGATTTCAAAAATTTTACTTATTTTTGGTACTATGGTAATAGTAATTTATTTCCTTTTTTATGAAGTGGAATTACTTTTGATATTAGGTTAGTTTGCTAATTCCTAACGCCACAACCCCCGTTTGGAGGACCTTTTCTTCAGCCGCCCATTCTGGATCAGACGCTCTTGGTTCTTTCGCTCTCTCGACCATTGTGACTTTTTCAGCCATCCTCTACTCTCGAGACCGTTGACCGGTTTTTTACCTGTAACCCAGGCAGGGATCCTCACAGGGTGCTATCAGCGGGTCAGCTGAACCTTGGCTTTTTAGAGGTGTTACTCCTCTATCCCTCCTCTTTTATCCGGGCTTGATAGCGGCTGCATCGGTTATAGATCTACTCAATTTACCCCATACCAATCCAGGCAGAGTTTGTAAGCACGTCATCTTCATATTTTTGTTTTATTGAATTATTCGTTGTACCTATTCTCCTTGTTTCTTTCTTTTTCTTCTGTTATCTTTTTCTTGATACTGTTGTAAAAAACCTATAACCTTTTCTTATCTTTATAGGACTGTGTGCAAGTTTGATAGGAACGGGACAGATATCAACTTTTTTAGCCGGACGAATTCATCTTGTGTGCTCCATGTTCACAACATTTTTCTACAGCGCATGCTTCCAACCATTCTTAATGCACTGGATATGGAGCCAAAAAGGCTGGATGAAGAAAGCGATCTTCTTGGAAACTGGTGTGTCGGTACAAGATTTTGGAGGAAATCTAGTTGTACATTTATCAAGTAGTCTGATAGGAACTATAGGTAAGTTGTACTAAGAGTTTTTAGTTAAGGTTATAAATAAAACCATTTATGTTAAAACAAAATTCACTGTTCGCTTTAATTTGGAGATTTTACATTTTTAGATTTTTAGATGTGGAGAACTTGCTCCATACACGGGCAAGTTTGTAAACAGCCGTTTAAAACTTATTGAAATATATCTTCACATGAGGCAAAATCGGAATTACTAAGCCATAACACAAAGAAGTTTATAGAAATATAAAATCTTAAATTAATAAACAAAAAAATATTGATAATGTTATTAAAGTAATTTTTCTTATTTTTCTCTTTTTAATCATCATCAACGCATCTTTCACAATCCTATTGCCTCTTCTTTGATCTCTTATTACATATTCCACACACCCCACTTCATACAAGTTTGCAGTACATGTTGAAAGTTGGGGACTATTACAGATTGTTACCGGAGAGCTGTCTCTTAAAGATTCAACATTTTAGGAGATCGTTCTTTAATTAAGGTGAAAGTTTCGTCAATAGGATTAACCATATCGTCAAGAGGGTGTTAATGAATATCAGTGGATGGCAAACAACTTCTTCAATAATCGGTAATCCCCCCGTCTGTTTTGGTAGTACCTTGGACGTTTTCGATTTAACACTGTTTCAAGGTAATAGCATAAAACATAGAAACAAGAACGACATTATTTGAAAATGGAGAAATATCAGCTTTCTTGAAACCATTCTGTATTATTTCTAATTTAAATCGTTCCAAATTTCTCCAATCATTGTAGAAAATTGTCTTTTCGGCAACTTTACTCCAATATTTCTTCTTTGTTATGTGACTATTTTTTGATTCCAAAAGTCTGTGGTGTAAAGACGCTAAGGTCTAAGGGTTTTCTATTATTGTAATACTAACATTGGTAGAATGGCCATCATATATTAATAAAACTGGCCTGTTTGTTCTAATTGATTTCAAACATTGTTTTTCAAAAAATTTTTAAAAACGATTGTTGCAACCGTTGGCAGTTGTAGCATATGTAGTTCCAGGAAAGTCTGTATTCTCTGGGGCACACCATTGATCCCAGATGTTTTTTCTTAAAAAAATACAAAAGCTGTTAGCAAAATGAATTACGCCATCAGTTTACGCCATCAAGAACATCAAACCCATTTACTACAAACAAGGATCTGAGACAAGGAGAAGAATTAAGTCCAACGCTATTTTAATATACAAGGATGAGATAAAGAAATATAGAAATATAGAATGAAATACTAAATAAATATAGAATGACAATTAATAAAAATAAAACAAAACTTATGGTGATAGGAGAAAATGAATAAGAAGAAAATATAAACATAAAAATATAAAAACTAAATATAGAACAAGCACGAACATTCCAATACTAGGAATAGAATTAGAATACAACGAAAGATAGGAAAGAGATATTAGTACTAGAATTTAAAAAACGATGAACCTATACTATGTAGTAAACAATAAAGTTATAGATAAGAATTAAATAACAAGACGGTTCACAACCAAAAATTAATGGTTGTGAGCCGTGGGTTTTAACAGAATAACAAAAGAGTGACAATACAGGCCGTGGAATTGAAATATTCGAGACTAGTTCGAGGAGTTACCACAAGAGATAGACTAAGGAACACTCAAATACGAGAATATTTGTAAATAAAGTCAACAATAGAATGTATAAAAAGAAGGCAACGCAGTTGGTAGGATCATCTTGAATGGAAAATACATAACTGGTGAAAGAAATTTGGCAACACAATAAACAATGAAGAAAGGTAGACTACGATAAACATGGGATAGAAGCCTAGGAAACAGCATCAAAAAAGGGGAACAGCATGAACAGAAAGCAAAGACGCTGGCCAGAAATAAGAAGGAATGGGTCAAATTTGTACATAATGTAAATATACAGTACAGTAGAATATAGTTAAGTTTACTAGTAAGATTAAGTTTGATATTAACATTGATTCGTATTTGTATTAATGTATTGTTGCCCTACACCATTATGTAGCAACACGGTATCCAATCGTTAATCCAATTGTATTTATTTTAGGTTGTATATTTCTGGGAAGAAGACTTATAAAAGTAAAAGACGTAGACGAGCATTCACTGGCAAGAGAACATTCGGGAAACACGCTAACTGGCAAATATTTATATTGCTTGGATATATTGCCTTTACTTTGCCATCGCCAAACTTTGAGGACAATCGAGAGCCCAAAAATTATATCGCTAACATCATGTTGAATAATGCAGTCGCTTTTGCTACAGGTAAAATATTTTTCATAGATATTGTAGTATGTTTACAATAAAACAAGCGGTTCTAATTTATATATAACTATTTATTTATGTTATCATCTTATCAAGTAACTTCTGATATCATAATATTATTTTTTAAAAGCTCTAGAGGGACTGTTTTACACCTTGATTGGGATAAAATGATCCTGTCTATGAAGTAAAATGACCCCTATAGTTGTTTTGTGCAGAAAAAGTAATGAGGGAGCCTTATAACTGGCTACCTACATAAGAGGGTTGGAAATCTTTGGATTCCAAGCCTTACTTCAAAGGCCTTGTGAATGGATGTATCAATAGGTTTGGTTCTTCAGTGACCGTTGAAGGATAAGGATTCTTAATATGAGCAAATATAGCTCCAGAGAAATAAAAGCACTTTTGAGTTTATCGATTTATAATTAAATCTTTTAAGAGTAGAGGAGCCCAACACGGCCGTAGCTTACTATACAATATCAAAAATTCTTTCTTTATAACACGTAAAAGATCACCGGTATGAGAAAATGCCCGATTTCGGCGGAGAGAAGTATTTAATACGTGAGTTGAGAGTTTTTCACTACTCGATGCCTCGATGGCGATGTGTGAACTTGAACTGATAAATCACTACTTGATGCGTGAACATATAGATTACTCCTATTTTATTTAGGTGTGAAAAATATTTAAGAGGGTCAGACGCCAGTCAGTCGGGTGTCGCGAACAAATTTAATGAAGTGACTATTCTAGTTATTCTACACTAAGAAAAGTCTAAAGAATTACATTTTTATTTTATATTTTAAAAACAATATGTTCATTTCTGGAACAAGTAATAAAACATTGCTATTTGCAAAAAGCGCAAATATATATACATACATTTCTGCTTTCCACTTACACCCGCATTTAATCTTTCCACTTACACCCGCATATAATAGATGGTACCATTTATAGGTTATTCCACGAATATACGACTGATTATTACGACAACGAATATTTTACTGTGCAAGTAGAAGTATGAAAGTAAATTGGTCTAAACAGTATTCCAATAAAATGGATTTACTGTTAGTTTGATTCTTACACTAAAATTATTTCAGTTAATATACGAGATGTTCAGATGCAAAATTTATTGTGAAATTTAATCCGAAAATAACAAAAATTTGTACGCGAACGGTCCTACAAATAAATACAATCAGTTCTATGAAGCCAAAATGTGTTCATACGACAATTGGGGTTAGGTTTCTGTGAAATGTAAACACCAAAGAGGCGTACCGGGTTTCTTTGATATTACACTTTTTATTACTTTATTAGGTACTAAAACTGTAATAAAAAGAAATATACTTTTAATATAAATGAACAGAAACTGGCCGAACGATGGTTTGGAAACTAGAAAAAAGATCTATAATTTCACTTTGTTAGTTTTAAATATTTGTTTGATTTGAGTGGATGTACACAATAAGTATTGTAGTAACCCGACAGTAACGGGTATTGTACAACATACCGGCTATTGATAGTTGAAGTACCAGGTCGTTACAGATATTAAAAAGTAACAAACATTTATATACAGTTTCATATGACTGATTTTAGTTTTAAAAACTGTCCGTATAGAGGTGTCCGGTAAAGAGAGGTGCCGTTAAGAGAGAGTTTAGTGTATTTGTTTATTGAAGCCAATAACGCCGAGACGTGTTTTAGATGTAGACAACTTTATATTTAATGTACTTTCCTATGGCGAAGTTCTGTGAATCTGATGGTTGATGATAGTTTTAGGTGATTATGAGAATAAGAAAATAAGTAAGTTTTTTTTTGGTTTCTTAATACTAATTAAATATTCGACTAAATTAATTACACTATTTAATCACCTAAGTATTGTTACACTTCGTTTAAATCACTTAATTCAAAAACCAACTTGTTTACATTACTAAAATCAATGATAGTAATTATATACTTCAAAATCTGAATTATAACTATTCTATAAACTATCAATTCTATATTAATATCATGACTTCATATTTAAATTTTAAGTCATAACAGTATTTTAAAAATAGGGAGAATTTACTATTGTACAATTCAGCACATTGGACCATTCTAATAGAGACCTTAAACCGAATTTAAAACAGTCGTATATTCGTGGAATGGAGTATATTTCACAATGTGCACTTATCTGAAGCTTTTTGGCCTACGATGTACTGAATAATTCCGAGCAAAATATGCAGGCGGCGTCGTCTTCATTATCATTAAATCTTTTATTTATTTATTTATTTTTCTTGATGTTTGGAGTTGACTTTGATGTTTTTTGTTTCTCTGTTATCAAAAGATAAATTGGTGTGGAGGTGAAAACCTTGTTCCTTTGATCAAGTCGATCCTTACGAAGGTCTTGAACTCCTTTTCAAATGAGGTATCTGAGGTAATAGAAATATAGGATATGGAGTTACACAAGTATCTTACTACATAAGATAATGGAAGTTCATTCCTTTTAACGCGATTTTTCTGTTATGAAGTGCTAACTTCGGAAATTGGTATTGAATTACCAATTGCAGAGCTTGTAATGTCAACTTTATCGTTTGAAACTACGACTTCCCGATTTAAAGCTGCAGTGGATAAAATTTTATTTTCAGATAATCCCCCCAGACTGTTTCCAAAAAGGTGATATACTCATAAGCTGACTTTTTATTTTCAGAAAACCTATATTTAATACTGTTTCTCTCCACAAGCATATAAGCTATCACAAATATTTTTCTTTGCCATGTCGAATAGTTGGCCTTCCATCTCTAAAACATATTCCTTTAAGTAAGTGCTTTTGGATTCGGCAACGTGGCGCGGAGTTGAAGATTTTTGTTTTATTTTCTGTCTGCGATAAACCCGAAATTCGAGAGTTGCAACGGGAAATAATTCAATACGTTGTAGGTAGTGAGAATTGAGATAACTGAATAAGGTAACAACTGTGCAAAAATAAACACCGAAAACTGCAAAAAAAAAACAATAACAAAGTGAATAATCGGATAAGGGAAAAAAGCGAGGTTAACTGATAAGAACTAACACTGGGAAGGAAGCTACGTTTAAGTGAATTGCGACGTTGCCAATGTGTGCAAAGTTTCGTGTTTGCCACGGAATACAAAATTAGTCGAGACTTCGAATAGGGGATTCAACAGGAAGTGGTAGATACTGTTTCTTCCGAGCTGTTGAAGCGAGAGATAGTGTCTGGCGCCAATCAGAGTTGAAAGTAATCCGCGAAGTGACCAAAAAAAAAAAAAAAGGAAAAGCATACAAGGATGGAAAAATATCTACAAGGTAAAAAGTATATGGACAGTGACGATACAACAACAGATGAAGGAGCAAAAAGAAAGAATAGAGGAGAGGATGATGAGCAAGAGGAAGACAGATCCAGAAAAAATAAAAAACTAACAAGAACCCCTCAGAAGACAGGAGGAAAAGAGGATGGAGCAAAACTTGATAAATTGCTAGAAATGATGAGCAACCTAACCAGCGACATTAGACAAATAAAAGAAGACCAAAAGGAATACAAGGAGGTAGTTGAACATCTAATAAGGGAAAACAAGGAACTAAAGAATGATAATAAAATTCTAAAAGAGGAAAACATACAGATTAAGAAAGAATTAAGGGAAATACGAGACAATATAGAAATTATAGAAAACAGAGAAGGCGAAATAATGTGGTAATGAACGGGCTAGCAATTGATACGCAGGATCAGCTGGTATTGAAGGAAGCAATTGGCAATTTTATAAAAGATCACCTTGCAGTAGAGGCCAAAATAAAGACGGCCCACAAACTAGGTCCAAAAACGTGCCTAATTGAAATGGAGAACCAACAAGAAAAGATAAAAGTTATGAAGAATAAAGCAAAGTTAAAGGACGTCAAAAAGGAAAAGGTATACATCAACGATGACACAACGGTGAGAGAGAGAGAGAAATTCAAAAAATAATAAGAAAAATTGCACAAGAGGAAAGAAACAAAGAAAACGAAGTCAAAATAGGAGCAAGGAAAATGATGATAAATGGTGTTGAATGGAAGTGGAATAGCAAGGAAGATAAAATGGAAATAACAAACTCAAAAAACTAGAAAACGGCTATGATAGTAAAAATACGAAGACGAAACAACGCAAGGAACAAGGCCATGAATACCGGTAACATTGTCATAGGAAAGGGTGATTTAAAGATAAAAAAATACAAAAAAAGGCAATAGAAACACATATCCAAAAGATCACTTAATGGTAGGAACGTGGAACGTGAGGAGTACTTTTGAGGAAGGAAAACTGAAACACTTAACTAAAGAAAAGTGAAAAAACTGTTTTTTAACACTTCTGAATTATGTTTTTGAGAACACCTATTTTAGTTTTAATGATAAATTCTATCGACAAATATTTGGAGCACCTATGGGTAGTCCACTCAGTCCCATAATAGCAACCATTATTTTGGACCATTTGCTGGATGTCATTATTCCACAATTACCTTTCCCTTTACCCTTCATTAAAAAATTTGTAGACGATCTTATATGTTCAGTTCCTAGTTCACAAATTCAAAATACTTTGAAAATTTTCAATAACTTTAACAAACATATTCAATTTACTTTAGAGATTGAAAATGATTGTTCGATATCATTTTTGGACACCAAATTAATAAGAACTGAACAAAACAAAATATTGATAGATTGGTATCAAAAGCCAACACACTCTGGAAGATATTTAAACTTTTTCTCAAATCATCCCACTCATCAAAAGTTTAATACAGTGATTGCAATGAAGAATAGGGTAAGGCATATTAGTGATGAAAAATTCATAAACAGAAACTTAAATTTGCTTTTAAACATTTTTGAAAATAATGGATACCCAAAACATATCCTTAAAAAATTAATATTTAACTCAGACATTTTTGACGGTCCCACTGATATCGGAGCAGTACAAACAATCCAATATAAAAAATTACCTTTAATAAAACAGTTAACACCTTCTGTGACTAGTTTATTTAAACAATTTACTAACATCAAAATTGTCCAATATAATGTATTAGAAAACCGACAACTGTTTTCTAAAGTAAAAGACAAGACACCAACTGTAAATAAAACTAATGTCATCTATAAACTGCCTTGTTTGGATTGTCAGAGCTGTTATGTTGGCCAAACTTCTCAATGGCTAAAACAACGGGTCACACAACACAAAAGTGACTGCACAAAAAAGAAGAATACATGTGCGGCAGTTGACCATTACCTAAAAACTGGGCATCAATTTGACTACTCAAATGTCAGGGTTCTACAACAAGAGAACAATTACAAAAAAAGATTGTTTTTAGAAATGTGTCACATTAATAAAGAAAAATATGCAGTTAATTATAAGGCAGATACGGGACAGTTGAGCAATATCTACTGTAATATTCTTAGTATGTTCAAATAATTTTTCTTTTTACAATTATATTTTAAATCACCCTGTATATTTTTAATGTGTAATTTTAATGTGTTTTTATTGTTTCTTGGTTGTTTTTGTTTCCTATTTATTATATTTTTTGTTATATTTAATTACTAGTGACTAGATGCTTTTGACTAATACTGTCAGTACTGTTTTGAATATAATATGTTCAAGATTTTTAAATATTTTAACTCTTAATCTGTAAGTAAATTCATTGTTTATTATCACCTGTTATGTATATAAAATTTTAACCATATTTTAGTTATCTCCTGAAGAAGCTGACAAAAATCAGCGAAATATAGAGTCATAAAAGAAAAAAGAGTTTTTTTTTTTTAATAACAGACCGCATACCTGATACTCCAAAACAATAAATTGTTATATACGTTTCGGTCGATAATCCTACCAGTTTTGCTATATATATATATATATATATATATATATATATATATATATATATATATATATATAGTGCTTTGACCCTCTTCTATGGTGACAATTCTACGGTTAATTCCAATTAAAGATAATAAATAATATTAAAATTTCATATAAAAATGACTTCAGAATAATATTAATTATTTTGTTTTATTTTCCAGGTATACTGATAGTGAGTTTTCTACATCTGATGATATTTCGAAAAATATACAACTACTGGACAATTGTGAGATGCTTTCAAGGTGGTCTGGCTGGAACAATAGCCGTGGCAGCTGCAGTTGAACTTTATTCCCATCTTGAGAGCATAGCTGTAGCAGCAGTAGTGTCTGTACTGTTTTTCTTCGTTTCTATACTTATTCACAACAGCGCCTTAGAAGACAACTCGAATTTAATAGCATCTCACCTAATTGGCTCGTTTATAGCTAGCTTCATGTGTCCTATAGTAGCACATCGAGCTAATTTCAACTCTAACAAGAAAATTCATATTCTATGGCAATTTATTTGCATTTGTGTGGTGCTAGCTGTAACCGCTGTTTTTGCTTGGTTGATTTTTTTAATATTCGCCCTTTCTAAACTTCTAAGAAATAAAGAAGAAGTTTTGAATCATAGAAGAGCTACAATACTCCAAAAGTTTCTACCCAAAAAAGGAGCTATGGAACGATTGTTTATGATTGATAGTAAAACAGATCATATCGTCCCTGGAGAATCAAGTAGACGACAGTACGTATTTGATAAGACTACAAATACAGATAATATTAAAGTTTCTGTTTCCGTATAAGATTTTACATTTTTTTGTACAATGGTTTTATCTAATTAAAGTATTACCTTGTAACTGAGAGGTTATCATTTTTTTATTATTAACAGTGAAATAGATACAGATGAAGAAACGAACCGCAAGAGAAGAGACCAGGATAAATATTTTAAAAGAAGTAAAATGACAAAGCGTACACCTTCTAAAAGTGACACGGAGAGAAAGGAACAGAAAGAGGATGTCATGATGAAATTGATGCAATAACTAATGGTGAATAATATAACATAACAAGCAATAAGAAAATTATAAAACGACATGGAACAATTACAAGACAGAATGGAACAACCGGAGAAAACAAGTAAAAAGAAAAGTTTGATTATATCCGGTTTAAAAATAGATACAAATGATGATAAGAAAGTAAAAGAAAGCATGGAATCATTCATATCACAAGAACTACAGGCGCAAATAAAACTGAGTAAGTTAAACAGTAAGTTGAAGTATCATAAAGATCTTACTTACTTACTTACTCCATGGCGTTATAACCATTCGTGGGTTTTTGCCGACTCGACAACATGCCTCCAGTGTTTTCTGTCTTGAGCAACCTCCATCCAATTATCCACGCCCATAGTGCTGACAAGACGATGTACGGTGGACGCCTACGCAGAAATGCACGGCACCTTAAGAAGAAGAAGATAGTGCTTAGGTCTCCTGCTATATTATCTCGCCACCGGAGACGCGTGGTCTCCTTCCAGTTGGGACTTCCTCCCACACCAGTCTTACTGTTCGTTCGTCAGAATGTCTTCTGAGGTGTCCTGCCCATTCTTTTATGATGTTGACGTCTGGGTAAAGTTCTTCAAGCTCTTTGTTAGTTCTTATCGTATATTGTCCTGATGCTTCATCCAGCATAGGACCAAAGATCTTCCTTAGGATTTTTCTTTCCCAAACACATAGTCTCACTTCGTTTGCCTTTGTTATCGTCCACGTTTCGCTTCCATACATCACAACGGGCCGTATGATTGTTTTATAGACCTGTATCTTCGTACGCCTTATTAGTTGTTTCGATTTTATAAGGTTTTGGAGGGCAAAAAGACATCTGTTGCCGGCTTGAATCCTGTTATTTATTTCTTGTAATCCGTCATTGTCTTCAGTTATTGTTGTTCCAAAATACTTGAATTCTCTAACGCCTTTGACAGCTCTTTGAATGTGGTTTTCGTAACGAAAGTTGAGGATGGCGGCTCAAAAATTCATAACAAAACTTATCTCCTGCAATCTTTTTTCTTTATTAAATTGGTGCGGCAATTTTAGGTGCTCAGCTGACTCAAAAGCGATCTTAAAAACTCTTTTTTGGTCATAGGCATCATCTTGTCTAAATCTATTAAATGCTCAACTTATTTGGTTTCTTCAGAAAATGTCTTCTTCGAATGAACCATAAGTGTCTTTATATCAACGTAAAGTTTCTAAAAACTTTGAGTATCGCTTCATTAGGCAGAGTCTGCTACGATTTTCCTCTGTGACTTGTTTTGGTTCTAGGGCATGTCGGTTTTACGACATACCGAAAATGTATAGCTACTGCTATTCTATTTAATTAAATTGCTTAAATTATGAGAAACACGTGAAAATAAAATTGTCTGATAGTAAATATAGGTCATAGAATGCGTCTGACGTTGAAAAAGTGACTGTGACGAAATTCATAGATAATCGGCTAATTTTTTCAGAAAACAGCCGTAAAAACACCCTTTCATATTGTCTGACGAAATTTATTTTCCGACTACAGTTTTTCTGCCCAATATCGGGCTACGTCTATATCCTTTATATTTGCGAACTATAAATCATGGAAGGTGTACTGAGATGGGCAAAGTCTGCGTACTCTCAGATGCTCCACGTTCTGTATTTCGCCACATTCACAAAGTGCGTCGCTATCTGTCTTGATGCCCCATTTATTAAGGTTTTGTTTTAAAGGGGCAACACCTGTGCGTATGCGGTTGAGTGTCCGCCAGGTTCTCCAGTTCAGGTTTATTCCATTAGGTCGTTCTAAATGTAGGGGGAACAGTTCGGGTGGTTCGACGCTGACATTTCTCATAAACCTTTTCCTTGATTTAAGTCGGCTAATTCCTGGCGGTTCGTCAAACTCGCATAATTGGTGTCTTTCATCGAAAGTTTGCCTGAACTTCTCCACATATTGTGAGGCGCATCTACGGTCGTCTGATGATGCGAATCCAGCTACCTGATACAATAATGATAAAGGGGTAGGCTTCATACAACCGGTTATTATTCTACATGTTTCATTTAACGCCGTGGTGACTTGTTGGGCGTGTCTAGATCTACTCTAGACGGGACAAGCATATTCTCCTGTTGAGAAACATAAGGCCTGAGCTGTTGACTTCAAGACCTGGGGATTTGCACCCCACTTGCTCCCTACAAGTTTCCAGAGAAGGTTGTTTCTCGCAAAAACCTTTTGTCTTGTGCTCTGACAGTGGAATTTATATGTTAGTGACCGGTCTAGTATCACTCCAAGATATTTGGGTCTATCAGTATGTTTCAAGCGTTGTCCCTCCCAAGAAACATTCAGTTTTACATGCGCCAGTTGGTTGATGAGATGGAATGCACATACTTGGGTTTTAGTAGGGTTAGGCTTTAATGAGTTTTGTTTGTGTTAAGTGGATATCATGTTTCAAGCCTCTTCCATTGTCGACTATACTGTGTGAGTGTTTTCCCCTTTACGGCTATAGAAAGGTCGTCAGCGTAAACAAAACTCAGATTTTCCGAAATATTTTCCGAATTTTCCAGCCGACAGGTGAAAGTGATCGATTTTATGACCATCAAAAAATTTCGGGTCTGTTCTAATTTTATAAAAAGTCAAAAAATTATTGCAACAAATGTATATATTACAATATAGGAATATGTGGCTAAAATTATTTACAAACAATGTACATTGTTGGTTTCTCTTTAACATCTGAACAAGAAAAATACAATTATTCGCAAAAATAATATACCGCGTAACACTCAAGTATAGCGAAAATATTTTTAATAGAAATAGAAACACTTTTTTTTAGATATTTACATAATAAAACACATACACTAACTTCTATGACAATGGATAAAATTCAAGGAGTAAAAAATAGCAGATGCTGGTATAAACGTTTTGAATTATGGTTTTATAACGCATAGTTTGTGTAGATATAAACCAACAAGAACCTAATCCATCAATTTTTTTTATAAATCGTTAGGATATTAGTGTTGTAAATTCACAGATAATCAAGAAGCATATATTTCGAAGATTATCACTATGCTATCTTTCCATTCAGACAGATCTGTGTAACATTATCTACTAAATAGTTCTATCAGATTCAAAAACCCTACTTCAAAAGTTTATACCACTGTCTAAATGAATTTTTTTAGTAATAAAATAGACTATAGAATAATATAAACATACTCGACTAAGAAATTTCATTCTCTATTCTACAAAAGCTTTTAAATTCTTTGAGTTGATTAATTTTTTAAAATCTAAATGTAAAAAATAGAAAATTTAGCATCAGAGTGTCGGTAAAAGGCAAAATATAGTAGTTTTAAGTTGTTTGTGTACTTACATATTATAAGACACTGAGGAAAACTTTAAAAGTTGTAAAAAACAACTTTGGAATCAAATTAGGTTATTTTTTTTTGTGTGATTAAAGTTAAAGTTTTTCCATTATGTTATATGCCCAGTGTTACTGAGTTTAGTACAATTTTATCACCAAAATGTAAAATATAAAAATCTAAGTCGATAAATTACATTTCATTAGATTAAATCTGCTTGTACATTTTTGGTTGCCTACATGTCAGGTCGTTGATGAAATACACAGAAGACTGTAAAAATAAAAATTTTGAAATTCAATTATAAAACGAGATTTGAGTCGCTGCAAATGGCTTCGTGATTAAGATTTACCCTCGTGATTAAATGGGATTCGATTCTATTAAAATTTTATATCAGATTGTGAATAAACGTCAAAAAAGTACTCCTCAAATTGCTAAAGAATGTTTTTGAAATTGCCATTTGCAAACCTAGGCACCAATGAATTAAACAGCACCACAAACAACACGGTATATAAGGCTTTAAAAAGATAGCTATATATATATATATAATATATATATATATATATATATATATATATATATATATATATAATATATATATATATATAATATATATAGGGGAGACCGGGGAGAGTTCGGACACAGGGAGACATCGGACACATTTGAATTTCGCACATTTTTGAAGATGCACTGTTGTCATTTGGTAAACACAACCTTATTTGTACATAATTATAGGTTATGTATTGACAGCTGTGATTTCGGTCGTAGTCACAGAGTTATCTATTGTGAAGTGTTTTGTCGAGTTTTGTTCTAAAAATATCGGTGCAATCCAGAAGATATATTTTAAAATACATAGACTTACCACGTATAAAACTTTGGTGCTGTAATCTACTATACTTATTTCATTAATTTGCGTTTATGTTGTTGCAATATTTAGGTAAGTTTTTTTATAAACCCATTGTATTACCAATGTTTGCATTAGGGGAGAGTTCGGACACAGTGTCCGAACTCTCCCCTGTGTGTCCGAAGTCTCCCCTGATCTGTAGTTATTCTATTTTTCTCTTACAGCTCATAATGCCCCGTACATATACAAGGGTAACAGAACGACAATTTTCTGCAGACACTATGAAAAATGCCACATCAGAGGTGCTTGACGGCAAATTGAGCATTCGGAATAGCGCCAAAACCTACGGCGTTCCTAAATCTAGTCTTCTAGATTACATAAAAAAAGCTAGAGCTGTGGGTATAGACAACGTAACATTCTCTCCAAATTTCAAGCAATCTCAAGTGTTTACCGATATAATGGAAAAAATGCTTGAAAAATATTTATTAGATTGTTCTTCCATGTTTCATGGACTAACGCCTAAAGCTGCAAGACGTTTAGCTTTTGAATTTGCCAAGAAAAACCATGTTAAAATGCCTACTACATGGAGCGAAAATGAAGAAGCTGGAACAGACTGGTTTTCAGGTTTCATGAAACGTCATCCTGTACTATCTATTAGAACA